AAATTTCCCCCGGGGGAGAGGGACAGGATAAAAGCTTCAACAATGGAAGTGTTAAGTAACAATGGCAGTGTCAACAATAAAAGTGTTAGGTAACAATCGAAGTGTCAACAATGGAAGTTTTAACAACGGAAGTGTTAAAGGAAAGGGATGTGCAAGATTTACAGGCGCAGATGCGCTTTTTTGCGTTTTTGATTGCGTTTTAATAGGATACGTCACGAGAATATACACTAAGAAGGGATTTTTCGAAATTCCACCAGCGAAGGTGAGGTTGTTAATTAACACTTTCCACCGCGGAGAAGTGTGAACAATGGAAGTGTTAAGAGAAAGAGAAGGGTAAGATTTACAGACGCAAACTATCCACCAGAGACAAACTATCCACCAGTGGCCAAGCGGTTCCGTTCCCTGAAGCCCTGGTCTTGAATAGTTGGTGGGTTCGCGCCTCGTCTGGACGGCTGGCCATGTGGAGTTTTCCGGGTTTTCTCTGTGTTTGTAACTTCTGACTATGGGCTAGTTGCCCTTAAAAAACCTCACGGAAGGCATTATTTTCCGCGTAACTACTATTACGTAACAATTATGTTACACTACTATGGGGCGATATAGCCTAGAAACTCATGCCCGACAAGGCAAATGACAATGAAAGTTATTTTTCATTATGGGGTATTTAAATTTTCGAGTGTTTCGATCAGGTCCTTCCGCATTGTTGAAAATGAAGAAATGTTATCTGCCATAAGGCAGATAACAGATAATATCCATGCACACCTGCTGCACTATGCAGGTGTGGGCGTTGCTACTCGACTAAATCGCGTTATACCCAGTGGCCATGTCGAACATCTGTCTAGTAATCATATTTGAAGTCATTGTCGTTTGTATTTCAACACCACTTATCGGTGATTTTTGGAACTAATTTTTCAGTCAACAAACAAGTGCAATACTGTACAGACGATAGTTCGCCTAAACTCTCCGTAGCGTGGCGCTAGACAGAGGAAAGCATATATATAATTATAATAAAGTTACAATAAATTAAGTTAATATATAATTATATATACAGTACTTAATTTATATATAATTATATGTACAGACAAAACTAAACTCAATTTATCCGCCTAAACGTCCGTAGCGTGGCGCTACGGACGGCGGGAAAGTAGTTCGGCTGCCCGATGACGTTTTACGTAATTATAGGAGTTTTTTTACCGTTGTGTACGGATACCGCCACAATTTTTTCGCCGTCTTATAGGAATCGTAATTATAGGAACCAGTCTTATAAAAGGATCTACTGTATATGTAGATTATACGTATAGTGATTAAAACTTACTATTTTAAATAAATATATACTGTACTTATCCTCGATCGAAATTTGCAAGATCTTCTAACAGATGACCTCAAAAGCAACATGCCAATAAAAGAAAAATACAAACTCTTCACTGATGGCGAACATTACATGACTATAAACTTATGGTGACATTTGCTACCTTATCAAATCAATCAGACTTTACGATTATCGGTATTATAAATTACTAGCAGGTAGGCTCGGCGTTGCTCGGGCAAAAGTAACGATAGCGAAGATTAAGATTATTACGTTATAGTCAACCTTACCCGTTTTCAAAGAATGCAAGAATGAGGTCCCCCTGTTTGCAGACTAATTAGAGAATTTTTAGATGGGTCTAAAATAATATGTTTGATTTCCCACAAAAACGAAAATAACTGCATCTGTGTCATGCATGTCGCTTTCTCTTAACAATTCCATTGTTACGTAATACTTCCATTGTTGACACTTCCATTGTTACTTGACACTTCCATTGTTACTTAACACTTTTATTATTACTTAACAATTCCATTGTTGATAAAAGTGTTAAGCAATAATCCTGTCCCTCTTTCCCGTGGGGAGGAATTTCGAAAAATCCCTTCTCAGTGTGCATTTTCGTGACGTACCCTATCTGTGTACCAAATTTCAACTTTCAACTCCTAACCCGTTTAGGCTCTGCGCTTATTATTATTATTACTATTATTATCATTATCATCATTATCAACCCGTCTCGATTATATATATATGTTACCGCTAAAGCTCGAAATCCGTTAATGTGAGCATTACCTAGCTAATCTGCAGATTAACTAGGGTGATCCGTTAAAGCTGCGAAAATTATTCCATTTCTCAAATTACCTAGGTAATGTTCAGATTATCTAGGTAATCTGCAAATTACCTACTAGGCACTCGGTAAAGTGAAAATAAGATTTTTGCTGGAACAACAGCAACGTTTCTGTACGCTTAAATTAACATAATGTTATTTATTTAATTTTCAATATCTAAAGAATCAAGTTAATACAATCAACAAATTAGTTGATTGAATCAATCATCAATCAATTAAAAAAACTTTAATACAAAAATCAAACGGTTTAAAATATTACTACAATTAGGGAAATGAATTTGCAAAACATATGATAAAATTGTACTTACTTATTAGTGCAATCTAAAGATTGGTGACACTTTGAATTACGTAGCAATTGGTTTTTGCGACAAGCACGCCTATTTGTGGTACATTTAGATTTGCAGTCACATTTTCTGAAACCCTGCCCAGTACCAAGGGATTGTTTTATTGCTGTTTGACGTAAAGATATTTCTACAGCAGGGACATCCATCTTCTTTCGTTAAAAATCTCTCTTTGCAAACACTGAATTCAGATTTTGCATACAATTGTTTTAAAATACCTGTTTTAGTATCAAGTTTATAAAAGCCATCCTCTGTTTTACTAAGAACCACAGCTAAAATTGAACGTGCATCAGTTTTTGCTCTGTCTTCTTCGGGTACTTTAATTCTCACAGCGAAACCTTCATCGACGTTTGGGTGCTTTGCATTAGAAACTGCTAACATTTTCTTTGCTTGCTTTTCTAAACATTTCTTGGCTTCATCACGCTGTATTTTCTGATCCATATTCTTTTTACAGATGATGCACAATACATTCTTACCATACCCTTCCTCTTTAGGATCTACTTCACCACAAACTGCGTGAACAAACATATTACACGATTTACACTTGTGAGCACTTGATGCTGCTTTTGAGCAAACAATACAGACTATGTCTTGTATAGTGCTCTTTACAGGCTCCGTACGAAACTGTGATGGCGATTCTGCTGAAGTTGAGAGTAACTCAGTGATGACTTCTTCAACTTGCAGAGGCGATTCCTTGGAGGTGCAGGGTAACTGAATATTCTTCGTGACTGCATCATCAATCAACGGTATAGAAGGCAGTTTAAGATTACTATCGGTAAATTCTTGTATTTCTATAGGTGATTCTGTAGAAGCGGGGGATAACGGAATGTCCTCTTGAGTAAGATTTGACTGTGATCTCATAATCACAGTCTCTTGTGAATCTTCTAATTTTTCAAGGTCTTCTTCAGTTTTTATCGAATGTCAAACAATTCTCCGGCATGGACAAACTTTTTCAAACCTTTCTCGCGCATCTGACAACGGCTCAATGAGTTTTTCACAGCCTCGTACAGTCAACACATCACACCTTTGAATTATTTGATAATCTCGAGATGATTCTTTCTTCTTGGAAACTTTTATTTGCTTTACATCTTCAATTATGGAATCATACTTTGGTTTGTTATTAAAACACTACGTATTATATTTTAAATCTTCGCTAAAGAGGTTTGCGAAGAATCTTTTCTTGATTTTACTCACCAATTCGGTGCTTGCTTGCATTCTAGGATTTAAATTTATCTACGTAAAAAGAAGGAATGGGGAAAGGAAGTGAAAGAAACAAACTTTTGAACTTTAACGATACGGAAGCCGTTAATATGCAGATTACCTAGATACTCTGCAAATTACCTAGGTAATTTGAGAAATTGAACAATTTTCGCAGCTTTAATGGATCACCCTAGTTAATCTGCAGATTAGCTAGGTAATGTACACATTAACGGATTTCGAGCTTTAGCGGTAACATATAGATTAAATGAATTATTCTGGCCTATAGTTTTCACAATACGCTTTATTACGAATTAAATAAAGATAAAACTAGTAAATTACATTGTTTAAATTACGTAACGGAAACTTCAATCCTGTAGAACGTCGTTCTGGGCAAGAAGAAATCGAAATCACACATACAAATCCTTATTCGCATACCTATAATTATGCTATGATATCGTACAAATTTCTGTCTCATAATAATTTAAATAATTTTGACTTAACCTGTCTTTTAGGACTTTCAGGCTTTCAACTCTATCTTTATTCAATGTATTCCAAACAAGTCATATGTTTTTAATCAGATGTTTACTGTTAAATTAATTAACCGAGTGAAACAATTTTCATAATGTAAATGTAGTCGTATATTATATTTTTAACAAGAAAACAAAATAAAAAAATAATACAAGACACGTTTAAAATTTAAAATAAATTAGCGGTATTAACAATGCGAATTATTACTTTTCCGGTGTTCGTTAGTGCGTGTGTGTGGAAGGAACGATTTTGTTCATCCTCTTTGAAGCTTAGTAACTCTTGTACTTTTTGTCAAAATTTTCTGAAATTATGCAGGAAGGTTTGTGTATTAGGAGGATTGATTCTGTTAAAATTACGTTATGAATATTCTAGAGGGTGGGGAGATAGAGTGTCGTGTGTCATATCTCAAGTAGGGTCGATCCTAATGACCATTTTACTCGTTATTAACATTTATAATTATTTAAATCTTATTACATTCAAAATTAAGTTTTTTTCATTTTACAATAGTTCAAAATATAAAAAGTTTTCTAATAAAACATGATTAAAGACCAAATGTTGCCGGGAAAGTTAAGCAACTCGTTCCTGGATATATTTCATGTTTATAATACCTAAATAGGAATCAATTTTCTTTAGAAAAACCTACCGGGAGACATCGCCTAAGTGTTGCATTGCTGTATATAAACAAAAGAAACAAATATACAGAATAGAATTTAACATCAATTGTTTAATTATTCTTCATATCTATAACACAAACATAAGTTTCTGGTGTTTCCATGTTTCCATAATGTACATCTTCCACGTGTATAACCTGCAGCGTTGCAACTATTGTCACACTGTGAATCTTTGAAACTACCATCGCAATCACAAAGTATTTTCGTACCTAGTTTTCTAGCATTTCCTATTTACATTTATTATTTATTAGTGTCATTATAAAAATCTAAGGAATAATGATAAAGCATAACGCTTACCAGGAATAAATTCGACTGTGCATAATATCAGTGCAAGAAGTAGAAATTTCTTGATATACACCATATTGCTATACCAAATTTTCCAATCTAGTAAAAGAAACAAGGTATTTAAGTGTAAAGAAATATAAAAATATGGATTTTACATGGGAAATGGGAACATGAGAATATGGGAAATTTACACATGAATCATAACTGATGTTCAATATCCACTTCGTGATCCTTTACTTTTACGTCCAATCGCTGGAATTTAAGAATTAATGTCCATGGTCTTCTAGAGGAATGAATTGGGGGTTTTCCCCCAACCCAGAGAAAACTTAGGGACCGTAATGCTGTAATCATTCTTACCCTTATGAAACGAATGTTACTTTTACTGCTTTCAGACTACTTTTTATTGATTAAGAAAGATATTACTCATTTTATTTCTTCGAAAATAAGGCAAATGATGCCCTCTTTACCCAAAATCCTATACAAGAACTTTATATGGCCTTAATATCTATAAATTTATTTGAATATTTTATTAATAAAATACTCTCGTGTATTGTTAACTGAATAACTAAGAACTTAAAGTAAAAATGAAACATTACTTACGTAGATACGAGTAAGAATTCGGAGAAATCCAAGTGTGAGCGATTAAATTAATACAAAATTAATGATTAATCTCTGTGTGTTGTTATTTTATATAAATTCTCCTTTACCCGGAATAATTAGTTGCAATTATTCAAGAAACATGACTCGACTAAATGGTATAATTACGTTTAAGTAATAGTTTATTATTAATTTTTTTGAATGATAAGTGTTATTAACCTAATTTTTAATGGAAAAATAAATGAAATCACTAAAATTATTTCATTTTCATCTTGAAATATTTATAAGTGATGATGAATTGTTTGTTTGAACAATTAATTTGTCTTCGTTAAATTATGGTTAGGCATTATCAGACATAAAATATGGTGATAAGGCTCATTCTCAAAAGAATTCTGTACATAATTCTGGTTATAAGTAGGGCAATTACTGGAGGATCGATTATAGAAGTTGATATTTGATCCTCCCCGACGATCTTTATTTTTGGACTGAGGATTCTTTAGAACGACGTAAAATCCATAAAAATTACGGAGGATTTCTGTATGAATATTATTAGTTTGTGATGCTACTAAATTTTGGTGGTTAAATATCGATGTGGTATGAAGATAGAAGGAGTCGTGTGTCATATGTAGAGTAGTGTCGGACTTAATGAAGATTTTACTGGTTATTAGCATTTGCGAGTTTTATAAAATACATCATACCCTCAGAATTAAGCTTTTTGTAATATTATAATATTTCGGTCGTTGTTCCTCACTACTCGGTCGCTCCTTTGTGGGCCTGGCCAAGTCCATAATTGTCTTGCTTAAAGAAGCCTTCTTAGTGCCCACAGGGCGGGAAGAATTAATTAAATTACTATTTTAACTAAATTTAATAAAGGTTTAATTAAATTAATACACTATAAAGAAGAACCTTCTGTTTGTTGCTAATTGGATTGCAATTTTGAAATTGAAGATCTATAGATTCCGACTATTGTCCGTTTGTCAGCCGTTTGTCTTTAATCTCGACACTGGAGTTAGATAGATGAAAATGGAGTTTAGATATGGTATTTATCAAATTGAATTATATTATATAATGGTAAGCTTAGAGCCGTCATCCCGGATTAACAATATACGAACTTCCAGCACTTACATTTTATACAGTCATAATAAGAAATTTGTGTCAGTCGTAGAGCAGGCATATATTTACTTTCTGATGTAAAATTTTAGAGAGAAACTTTTGGATATATTTTCGAAGCTTGCCGGATAATCGAGGCGATGAAAACATCAGTTTACCGTAATAAGAATCCAGAATCAAATTCGGATTCAACATCAGAAAATTTTTCTGTCTGTTCAGATAAGTCACGTCTGTTCTAATACTTACCCTGTTCAACCTGGAAGCAAAAGAAACAAGTTTCTCTGAATCTTGAGAAATCGTGGGCACCAATACAATGTTTATTTCGTTTATGTCCTCAATGCTATAAGACTGCGATATGTATTTTACTCAAGGCACACGTTACTCTGAGGACAGCACTGCCCATTCCATCTACTGGCCTTTTTGAGTATTTCGTCAAATTCACAATGGTCCTACGAAAGTGGACGAGTGGATAAAACAACCGAATGATCGCTGCTTCTCGCTGTTGGTCGTAGATCCGCATCGTCCAGTGGCAGAGGTTTTTGGGTTTTCTTCACGTGTTTAACATACAAGCAGTTTTCGTAGAAAGTCTCCTTTAATATCGCTCGTGGATTGCGTAGCCGTATGAAATTAACCCAAATTTAAAAATCTATAAAAGCCCTCCTAGTGTCCTCGAGGCGAAAAGTTCAATGGGGAAAATACATCTTCTACAAGATTATTAGCATTTAGTACTCCTATTTATATGTTTTCAATCCTCATAAAACAATTTTCTTTATTTTTAAGCTTAAATTACATTTAATTATTAAGTAAATGTTTTATTTATTTGATTTTAGTTTTGAAATTAAAATAATTTGATACCAGAAAAACTAATTTATCAAATTGAATCATTTTATATTTTCGATAAATAATCATAAAAGTTTAGAGAAAAACAAAAAAATATATATAGAATGAGGAATTTAAATATTTGAATATATTAAATTACAAAGATATGAAGAAACTATAAATTAGTAGTGTTTTATTGTGTAATTTACCAGTTTAAACATATAAGGGAGTATCTGTAAGTATGGCAAATTATCATAAATTCGTTTATTGGGTTAATAATTTAAAAATTACTTATTGACGAGTCCTTTTTATTCGTATCCATTGTGGACTAAGCTGAGTAGTTCGGGACTGCAATCCACATATCTGGGAGGAATTTTTCCGGCCAGTATTTTATCCCGGAATTCGACTCCTGATATCCCAGAGCGGTAGAATGATGCCTTAAACACTTCGGCAATATTTTCTTTAAAAAATATACTACAAACGAACAGAAAGGAATTGAATTAATTTGATGGGATACGGTAATTCAACACTGAGGAAATGTGGTTGGAAGAGCCTTTCGAAATGATTTTTTATATAAAACTTATCTCCAATAAATGTTAGACACTTGAAGAAACCGGAAAACTCTACGTATCCAACTTGTTTGTCAGATGCGGACCCGCGACTGACAATTAATTAAAGACGATTTCACCTACATCAATTGAATCGAAAGGTTGGTAGCAGGACTTTTCATTAGTTAAAATAAGAAGCAGAGTGTGTAATCCGAGTACTGACAATTTTTGCTTTTTAAAATCTTGTTATAAAAATTTACAATAATATTTTGTATTATGTTTTATTTAAATAACAAAATTACCTTTTAAGTTAGAAGTTTGATCTAAGATCAATTATTTTTAATTTTCAACTGAGTTCAAAGCATTTTGTTGTATTCAGTTTCCAGCAAACTTTAAAAAATTTTTTCTATTTGTGAAAATTTCTACGTAAATGAAAAATAATTTTAATATACTGTATATCTTACACAGCATTGTTAATATGATTTTGAAGGTTGCAAAACGTATTAAATTCCTTTAAAAAGTAAAAACAAATTATATCATTTGATTTCAAGATATTTTGTACATCTTAAAAATAATTCATTTTATCTCGGGATTTCTCAAGATTTACTTTTATCCCGGGACAAGCAAAAGACCGAGAAATGAGAAATCCCAGTTTTTTTCTAAAGAAATATTATTAATTTAAACAAATCACAAAATTTATTAATGATTCTTTAAAAACACAAACCCAGCAGTGAACAAGAAGATAACACTACTGAACATTGGTGGATTCGCGCTATGCCAATGGACACCTGACGTTTTCTGCTTTTCTTTACATTTGTAACATGTAAATAGGGCCAATTTTCCATAGAGAGTCCTTCAGTGAGTCATCGTGTAATTTAAATTCACGCGTAATGTATGTAATCACCGAAACATGCGCTGACCTATGGAGGAATAGATTAAACCCCACAGAAATCTAAGTGTTGTAGTGTGTTCTCGCCTGATCAGAGAGCTGAACTTTTCTGGGTTATCTCCACGTGTTAAACCACAGTTACTCGTAAAAACTCTCCCTGGAGGCACCTCTATTCAGATGATACCAATAATATGCTGCTTTACATTACCCCTTTAATTTCACCATATTTTTTTTATAATGTCTATGTAGCATTCTAATTAATATTTTTATTTAAAACCTTTTACTGCTTACTTAATTTACAATTTTATTTGGTATTTTAAGTACATTAAAAACCACGTGTCACTCTTACACCCATAACACAAACGTACAGTACCTTCTGCCATGCAAATAATATTGTGTTCGTTATAATTTTATGTATTTTTGTTTATATATATCTCTTCACTAGATGATTTTTACAAAATATTTTCAGAATAATGCATTTATTCTACTACAGAATAAATGTTAAGAGACTGTTAGCTATATCAATACATTACGATTTTTGTATGTATACTGTATATATTACGCTTTATTTAATTATTACTTTATTGTACATGACATAGAATAGTTATACGTACTACATATTATCACGAAGTTTTATTTCCGTTTCAAATTTTTTTTGTCATACAAATAGGATAACATTGAAGGCAATTGACGTTTAAACGATGGAATTCCTGGTTAGGACAGCATTCTGCATTGGATAAACATACTGCACCACTAAAAATTAAGTTTTATACGCATAATGAATATTAAATAGTTAATAAATAAATAAAATTGAAGTTAAACTTACCTTTTGTTGCAAACCTCTCCCTTCTCGTCTTTAGGAGAAAATAATTACAATTAATTTTAACTTTTGTGTGATTAAATAGAAATTAGTATCCATTATTATTATTGTTATCATCATTTTCTATAAATAGCGTAAGTAAACAGTAATATATTTACCCGCAACACGAGGATGGCAAATGACATGTGCGGCAAGATTTATAATAATAAAGAAATGTGATATCATCATCTGAAAAATAAATTCAACTTTATTAATAAAATACATAAAAATAAAATTTAATTAAATCGTCTATACAAAGTTTACGCAACTGAATTTAAGTTCATAAATTTTATAAATGTCTGTCCTTTCGAGAGAATTATAAATTAATAGATAATGTTAACATTCTAAAATTTGACAGAAATCTTCAAAAATGCCGTAACAAATGGCAGAGTATACGATACTTACATTTGCAGAGAGAATTAATAAATTGATTTTCAATCTTGTATTTTCAATAGAAGAAGAGGAGTGAAGTGGTGTTAGAATCGACTCTGTTTATATAGATACTGAAATAATTAAAAATGGGACCCAAATTAACACTTGTAAGCACTGATCTCTTTTCTGTTTCCATATAGAAAGTGATGCCAGTTGTAAATTTATTGTATGTATAAAGGCACGAATGCGAATTTTGTTTAAAAGTAAATATTTATATATTAAAAATTCCGATATAATTTTTAAAATTGTCGCCATATATTTGCGGGTAAATGTTAATATTCACAATTGTAAGAAACTGAGTTTTAATTCTATTCAGATTAAACATTTATCAAGGGGAGAGTTGACCGGGTCATCATTTTCTATGTTTTGTCACGTTTCCAACCTCATTATGACTCAGAATAAATAAACAAAGCTTAATTAAGAAATCGAAATAATTGTGTTTGAGGTGGTGTAACTTAAGTTTGTATTGAAAAATTTGTCAGTTTAATCGTGATAATGCAGAGGTGCCGAATTATCGAATTAAATTATCTCATAAACCCTACGAATTTGTTAGTTATTTGAGTGCAGTGCCCTAATTAGGCTAGTGCCACAGGTATTGGCGAAGTGATTTGTTCTGGTGACACGTTTAGAAATATGGTGCTTCTAAGCCCACAATACGGAAGTGATTCCGAAACTAATAGTGCCACATTTGCAGCAAATAATTCAATTTAATTTTGAAATAATTAAATTTTTATCAATTAAGGACATTGTTACTGAAAACCCGCCAGAAAAAGCAGAAATGTTAAGCTAAATATATGTACTTTATACATGTAATGATTAAACTTACTATTTTAAAATAAATATATACTTATCCTCAGTTGAAATTTGCAAGATTTTCAAACAGATCATCTCAGAAGCAACATACGAATAAAAGAAATATAAAAATTTTTCCTCTCATGGCGATTATTACGTGACTATAAACTTATGGTGACATTCGCTACCTGGTAAAATCAATCAGACTTCTTTGCGATTATCGGTATTATAAATTATTAAATAAATTATTCAGGTTTATAGTTTTCACAATACGCTTTATTACGAATTAAGTAAAAATAAAACTAATAAATTACATTGTTTAAATTACGAAACGGAATCTTCGATCCTGCAGAACGTCGTTCTTGGATAGAAGAAAACGAAATCACACATACAAATTCTTTTTCGCCTACCTATAATTATGCGATAATATCGTATGAATTTCTGTCTCACAATAATTTAAATAATTTTGACACTTAACTTGTCTTTCAGGACTTTCAACTCTATCTTTATTCAATGTATTCATATGTTCTTATTCAGATGTTTACAGTAAAATTAATTAACCGAGTAAAACAATTTTCATAATGTAAAGTACTGGTACATTATAGTTTTAACGAGAAAAAAAAAACAGTTAAATAAATAATACAAGACACATTTTAAATCCAAAATAAATTAGCAATATTAACAATACGAACCGTACTTTCCCGGTGTATGTGAGTGCGTGTGTGGTGGAAACGATTTTGTTCATCCTCTTTTAAGCTTAATAACACATGTAAAACTTTCTGAAATTTTGCAGGAAGGTTTGTGTATTAGGAGGATTAATTCTGTTAAAATTTGGTGATAAATGATCGAATGGGTTGAGAGATAGACAGTATCGTGTGTCATATTTCAAGTAGGGTCGATCTTAATAACAATTTTACTTGTCAAAATAGTTAAAAATATAAAAAGTTTTTTAATAAAATATGATAAAAGTCGGCGCTACCAAATGCTGCCGGGAAAGTTAAGCAACTAGTTCGTGGATATTTTTTATGTTTATAATACCTAAATAGGGATTAACTGCTAAATATTACTTATAATATCTGTTATTACGTACTATGAATGTATATCTCTTTAATCCGAAATTAAATTCGGTAGACTATCATTACAGCTTTTAGGTTAGATACTTCTTTTATTGTTTTCACATATGCATTTCGGACTTATATAAATGCTAAGAACCTCTTCACTGCAATACTACGTTACAATCACTTTTTTCCATTAGGGCCCTCCTGTAAGCTGTAATGATAGTCTACCGAACTTAATTTCGGATTAAAGAGACATACATTCATAGGGATTAACTTCCTTTAGAAAAACTTCCCGAGAGACATCCCCTCGGCAGATCGCCTGATTGCTGCGTTACTGTATACAAATAAAAACAAACAAATATACAGAATAGAATTTAACATGAAACTTTAATTATTTTTCAAATCTATAACACAAACATACGTTTCTGAACTGTCCATGCTTCCGTAATGTACATTCTCCAACTGTATAATTTGCAGCGATGCAAAAATTGTTACACAGTGTATTATTGTAATTGAATGCTATACAAGCAACAATTGCTTCGGTAGTTAGTTTTCTAGCATTTCCTATTTACATTTATTTTTGATTAGTGTAATTATAAAAATTTAAGGAATAATAATATAACATAACACTTACCAGGAATAAATTCGACTGTGCATAATATCAGTGCAAGAAGTGCAAGTACAAGAAGAAATTTCTTGATATACGCCATATTGCAACACTGAATTCACCAATCTAGTAAAAGAAACAAGATATTCAAGTGTAAATAAATATAAAAATATAGATTTTAACATGGAAAATGGGAACCTGAAAATACGGGAACTTTACACATGAAAAATTGTATTCTAAATAAAAGAATCGGTTCTAAAGCTAAGGTGGTTGTTATGTATCAACAGGACGTAACACCTGCCCATCCTGAGGTAAGGACCCCAACATATTTTAGCATAAAAATTTCCGAATCCATCAGGAATCATAACTGATGCTTAATAGCCACTTGATGGTCCTTTACTCCTACGTCCAATCGCTCATATTTAGTAAATTAATGTCCAGGGGTTTCTGGAGGAATGACTTGGGAATTTTTCCCAAGCCTGGAGAAAACTTAAGGACAGTAATGCAGTAATGGTTTCTATTCCTGTAAAACGAATGTTGCTTTTACTGTTTTAAGACTACTTTTTATTGATTAAGAAGCATTTTACTTATTTCATTTGTTCGAAAATATGGAAAATGATGCCCTCTTTACCCAAAAACCCATACAAGAACTTTGGACTGTCTTAATATCTATCAATTTACTTTAATATTTTATTAATGAAATACTCTCGTGTATTTTTAACTGAATAAGTAAGGACTTAAAGTAAAAAGGAAGCATTACTTACGTAGATACGAGTATAAATTTGGAGAAATCCGAAGGTGTGAGCGATTAAATTACTATAAAATTAATTATTAATCTATGTGTGTTGTTGATATTTTATATGGATTCTCCATTACCCGGAATAATTAGTTGCAATAATTGAAAAAACATGACTCGACTAAATGGTATAATTGCATTTAAATAATACTTTATAATTAACTTTTTAAAATGATTAATGTTATTAACTTAATTTTTAATGGGAAAATAAATGAAATTACTCAAATTATTTCATTTTCATCTTGAAATTTCTATAACTGATGAAGAATTGTTCGTTTGAACAATTAATTTGACTTCGCTAAATTAGATTAGGCATTATAAAGCATAAAGTATGATGATATTTTCAAAATTATTTTGTAGATAATTTTGCTTAAACGTTCCTGAAAATAGGGTAGTTACTAAAGGATCGATCGTATAACCAGATTTTTGATTCACCCCGAAGATTTTTCATTTTTGGACTAAGAAGTCTTTAAAACGTCGTAAAATCCATAAAAATTACGAGAGTTTTCTATATGAATATTACGATGTGGTTGTACGATGTTCTTCATTCCTTTTGAAGCTTAATAACTTTCGTGCTTTTTGTCGAAATTTTGTGAAATTTTGCAGAAAGGTTTGTGTATTAGGGAGATTGATGCAGGGCCGGATCATCGCATAGACAAATGAGACAAATGTCTAGGGCCCCGGTTTTTAGAAGGGCCCGATCAAACTGTCTATTTTGAAGAGATTTGTAAATAAGATAGTTTACTTCTCTGTTGGACAACTGTATACAATAAACAAAAATATACAGTATTGGTTTTTATATGGTTATAGTGAATTCTTAAATCTAAAGAAAATGAACGTGGGTTCAAAAAGTTCCCGAACTTTTTTAATAGCGCGCCTCCAGTTAATTATATTTTAATTCGCTTGGAGGCGTTGTGTCCTCGGAAACCTCCCGAGTAACCTCCTTCAACCCATTTGTTGATATCTTGTTTTGGTGATTAGTTACTGCCGTTTATGTGAAGGGGTGTTTGTGGGATTCGGCGAAAAATCGGATCCGCGGAAATCAGCTCTTTGAAAGAGCAGCGTTGTTCTGTGAAATTCTGTGTGAAACTCCGAAAATCCTTCACGGAAACTTCCCACGGGTGGGTGGAACAGTGCTCGAAAAAAGCTCGACAAGTTCGCTCAAGGTGATGTTGAGGTGATGTTGCCTGTTTTTTTCGATGCAAAGGGGGTTGTGCATCACAAATACCTACCTACAGGCCAGACAGTCAACACGGCGTACTACTTGGTGTTATGAAACACCTAAAAGAGAGAATCAGGCGAAAACGACCCGAATTTTGGAGAAGCGGTGAGTGTTTTTTTTTTTTCATCACGACAATGCGCCGGCTCATTTGTCCCTCAGAATTCGTAAGTTTTTGGCCAAAAACAAGACCGCTGTGCTTCCCCCTACTCACCTGACCTGACACAAAGAGACTTTTTCCTGTTCTCCAACAAACTAAAAAACACGCTCAAAGGAAAAAGATTTGCCACCATTCGAAAGATAGAAAAAAAAACGACGGAGGAGCTTATGAGCATTCCGGAAAAAGCGTTCCAGGACTGTTTCAAAAAGTGGAAACACCGTTGAAATAAGTGTATACGTTGCGGAGGAGACTACTTTGAAGGGAACCCTGACAAATATGTGAAGTATGTGAAGTATTTTTTTGTAATAAATAAAGTTCGGGAACTTTTTGAACAAACCCTCGTATTCTTATGTTTCTTCTAATTGAAAGTAAAAGGGAACTCCCAATAATTTAGAATTTTTTTATAGCGATAAGAATAATATTAACTATATATATATTCCAGTGAAATCCTGTGAAATATTATTAAATAATTTTGCTTTTATTTTTTATTAAGCAGCTGCAGTGTCCGTATGCGATTTAATAGAAATAATAGTAACAAAATTTATTAATTGAAAGAGCCGACAGGGGACTTTGAAGAAGAAAATGTCTAGGGCCCCAAAGTGGGTTAATCCGGCCCTGGATTGATGATATTATATTTTGGTGGTTAAAGATCGAAGGGGTACGAAGATAGAAGAAAAGGTCGTTTGTCATATTTAGAGTAGGGTCGAACTTAGTGAAGTGTTTTACCGGTTATTAGCATTTACGATTTTTATGAAACTCATCCTACTTTCAGAATTAACGTTTTGGTCGTTTTATATTAATTAAAAATATATAAAAAGATTTTTTAATATAATATCATATTAGATTGCGCCACACGGAATTTTAAAAGTTGCCGAGTGTGTTAAGTAACTCGAAATTACATTTATCTTAAAACATAACGTTTCATTTAACTTAAAACGTGGATAATATACGGATTGTTTTATATAATAATATTCGAAACGATAAACCAAGTTGAATACTGTATAATTGACGGTCGGATGGCCGAGCGATCAAGGAGGCAGTCTACCGCTCTTGGGTACCAGAGATTGGATCCTGACGTGTCGAAAAATCTTTGGGGAAAATTCGGTGTAATGCTCCGTAAGAAGATATCGGGCCCCGTTTTCTCCACCCGGTTGCCCCATTGTGGTACCGGCCGAACCCATAATGGGCTTCTTAAAAAGGCACTCTTATTAACCTCTGGTCGGATAGAGTTAATTAAAATTACTATTTTAACTTAAATTCAATACCAATAATATGCTGCTTTACATTACCCCTTTAATTTCGCCATATTTTTTCTTTTATAATGTCTATGTAGCCTTTTTATTATATTTTAATTTAAAACGTTTTACTGCTTACTTAATATAAAATTTTATTAGGTATTTATTGTACATTAAAAACCACGTGCCACTATTACACCGATAACACAAACGTACCTTCTACCATGTAGATAATATTATGTTCGATATAATTTTATGTATTTTTTCAGGTGAATGCATTCAATTTACTACAGAATAAATATCAACAGACTGGTAGCTATATCAATACATTACGATTTCTGTATGTATACTGTGTATATTATGCTTTATTTTATTTTTACTTTTATTATATATGACATAGAATTGTTGTTATACGTTACTACATTTTATCACGAAGTATTATTCCAGTTTCAATTCTTTATTGTCGTGTTACACACAATAATTAAGACAGACAACAGCAGTGCAATAATCATGTGGAATAATGCATTTTTCGTGAGGACAGCAGTCTGCATCAGAGGAACAATTTTTATCTCTAAAATGTAAAGTTTTATATGCATAATGAATATTGAATAGTTAAAAAATAAATAAAATTGTAGTTAAACTTACCTTTTGTTGCAGACCTCTTCCTTCTCGTCTTTTAGCAGAAAATAATTAAAATTAATTTTAATGTTTGTGTGATTAAATACAAATTAGTATCCATTATTATTATTATTATTATTAACATCATTTTCTATAAATATCGTAAATAAACAGTAATATATTTACCCGAAACGCAAGAAGAGCAATCTTGTATTTTCAATGAAAGAAGAGGAGTAAAGTGGTGTTAGAATCGACTCTATTTATATAAATACTGAAATAATTAAAAATGTGGCCCAAATTAACACTTGTAAGCACTGATATCTTTTCTGTTTCCACGTAGAAAATAATGCCAGTTGTAAATTTATTGTATCTGTAAGAGCACGAATACAAATTTTGTTTTAAAATTAAATATTTATATATTCAAGTTTGCGATATAATTTTTAAAATTGTCGCCATATATCCGTGGGTAAATGTTAACATTCAAAATTGTAAGAAACTGAGTTTTAATTCTATTCACATCACCCGTTCATAATGGGGAGTATTAACCGGGTCATCATTCTCTATCTTCTGTCACGCTTCTAATCTCATTATGACTCGGAATAAAGAAACCATGCTTAATAAACACTGCGAAACAATGGTGTATGAGATGGTGTAACGTAGATTTGTATTTAAAAATTTGTCAGTTTAATCGTGATAATGCAGAGGTACCGAATTCTTGAATAAAATAATCTCATAAACTCTATGAATTTGCTTGTTATTCGAGTGTTGTGCTCTAATTTGGCAGGTGCCACAGGAATTGGCGAGGTGATTTGTTCCGGTGACACGTTTAGAAATATGATACTTCTAAACCCACAATACGAAAGTGATCCCGAAACTAATAGTGCCACTTTTGCATCAAATAATTCAATTTAATAATTGTAATTTTGAAATAAATTGAATTTTTATAGATTAAAGACAAAGTTATTGAAAACTCGCAGGATAAAGCAGAAATGTTAATCTAAATATATGTAGATTATACATATAATGATTTAAACTTACTATTTTAAATAAATACATACTGTACTTATCCTCGATCGAAATTTGCAAGATTTTCTAACAGATGATCTCAAAAGCAACATAAGAATGAAAGAAAAATAAAAACTCTTTATCTGATGGCGAACATTGCGTGACTTTAAAGTTATGGTGACATTCGCTATCTGGTCAAATCAATCAGACTTCTTTGCGATTATCGGTATTATAAATTATGAAATGAATTATTCAGTCCTATAGTTTTCACAATACGCTTTATTACGAATTAAGTAAAAATAGAACTAATAAATTACATTGTTTAAATTACGTAACAGAAAGTTCAATCCTCAGAATGTCGTTTTGGGCAAGAAGAAAAAGAAATCACACATACAAATCCTTATTCGCATACCTATAATTATGCTATGATATCGTACAAATTTCTGTCTCATAATAATTTAAATAATTTTGACTTAACCTGTCTTTTAGGACTTTCAGGCTTTCAACTCTACCTTTATTCAATGTATTCCAAACAAGTCATATGTTTTTAATCAGATGTTTACTGTTAAATTAATTAACCGAGTGAAACAATTTTCATAATGTAAATGTAGTCGTATATTATATTTTTAACAAGTAAAAAAAAACAATTAAAGAAATAATACAAGACACGTTTAAAATTTAAAATAAATTAGCGGTATTAACAATACGAATTGTACTTTCCCGGTGTTCGTTAGTGCGTGCGTGGAAGAAACGATTTTGTTCACCCTCTTTGAAGCTTAATAATTCTTGTACTTTTTGTCAAAATTTTCTGAAATTTTGCAGGAAGGTTTGTGTATTAGGAGGATTAATTCTGTTAAAATTAGGTTATGAATATTCTAGAGGGTGGGGAGATAGAGTGTCGTGTGTCATATATGAAGTAAGGTCGATCTTAATGACGATTTTACTTGTTATTAACATTTATAATTTTTATAAACCTTCTTACATTCAAAATTAAGTTTTTTTTTCATTTTAGAATAGTTGAAAATATAAAAAGTTTTTTAATAAAACATGATTAAAGACCAAATGTTGCCGGGAAAGTTAAGCAACTCGTTCCTGGATATATTTCGTGTTTATAGTACCTAAATAGAAATCAATTTTCTTTAGAAAAACCTACCGGGAGACATCGCCTAAGTGTTGCATTGTTGTATATAAACAAAAAAAAACAAACATACAGAATAGAATTTAACATCAATTGTTTAATTATTCTTCATATGTATAACACAAACATATGTTTCTGGTGTTTCCATGTTTTCATAATGTACATCTTCCACGTGTATAACCTGCAGCGGTGCAACTATTATCACACTGTGAATCTTTCAAACTACCATCACAATCACAAAATGTTTTCGTACTTAGTTTTCTATCATTTCCTATTTACATTTTTTATTGATTAGTGTCATTATAAAAATCTAAGAAATAATGATAAAGCATAACACTTATTAAAAATAAATTCTACTGTGCATAATATCAGTGCAAAAAGTAGAAATTTCTTGATATACGCCATATTGCAACACTGAATTCACCAATGTAGTAAAAGAATCAAGGTATTTAAGTGTAAAGAAATATAAAAAATATGGATCTTAACGTGGGAAATGGGAACATGAATCATAACTGATGCTTAATATTTACTTCGTGGTCCCTTACTCTCACGTCCAATCGCTGGAATTTAAGAATTAATGTCCATGCCCTTTTAGAGGAATGAATTGGGAATTTTTCCTTAACCCAGAGAAAACTTAGGAACCGTAATGCTGTAATGGTTCTTACCCCTATGAAACGAATGTTACTTTTACTGTTTTTAGACTACATTTTATTGATTAAAAAACATATTACTTATTTTATTTCTTTGAAAATAATGCAAACGATGCCCTCTTTATTCAAAATCTTATACAAGAACTTTATATGGCCTTGATATCTATAAATTTATTTGAATATTCGATTAATAAAATACTCTCGTGTATTATTAACTAAATAAGTAAGAACTTAACGTAAAAATGAAGCATTACTTACGTAGATACGAGTAAAAATTTGGAAAAATCCAAAAATGCGAGCGATTAAATTACTACAAAATTAATGGTTAATCTCTGTGTTTTGATGTTATCTATATATATAATTGAGACGAGTTGATAATAATAATCAGCACAGAGCCCAAACGGTTAGAAGTTGAAATTTGAAATTTGGTACACAGTTAGAATACGTCACGAGAACGTACACTAAGAAGGGATTTTTCCAAATACCTCCCCACGGGGGAGAGAGACAGGATTAAGCCTTAACACTTCCATGAACAATGGAAGCGTTAAGTAACAACGGAAGTGTCAACAGTGGAAGTGTTACATAACAATGGAATTGTTAAGAGAAAGCAACGTGCAAGACGCAGATGCAGTTTTTTTTCGTTTTTGTGGGAAACCAGACATATTTTTAGACCAATCTAAAAATTCTCTAATTAGTCCGGAAACGGGAACCAATTTTTGCATTTTGTGAAAACGGGAAAGGTTGACTATAACTTATCAATAATAATCTTAATCTTTGCTATCGTTACTTTTGCCCGAGCAACTCCGGGCCTACCTGCTAGTTTTATATAAATTCTTCTTTACCCGGAATAATTAGTTGCAATTATTCAAGAAACATGACTAGACTAAATGGTATAATTACGTTTAAGTAATAGTTTATAATTAATTTTTTTGAATGATAAATGTTATTAACCTAATTTTTAATGGAAAAATAAATGAAATCACTAAAATTATTTCATTTTCATCTTGAAATATTTATAAGTGATGATGAATTGTTTGTTTGAACAATTAATTTGTCTTCGTTAAATTATGGTTAGGCATTATCGGACATAAAGTATGGTGATAAGGCTCATTCTCAAAAGAATTCTGTACATAATTCTGGTTATAAGTAGGGCAATTACTGGAGGATCGATTATAGAAGTTGATATTTGATCCTCCCCGAAGATCTTTATTTTTGGACTGGGGATTCTTTAGAACGACGTAAAATCCATAAAAATTACGGAGGATTTCTGTATGAATATTATTAGTTTGTGATGCTACTAAATTTTGGTGGTTAAATATCGATGTGGTATGAAGATAGAAGGAGTCGTGTGTCATATGTAGAGTAGTGTCGGACTTAATGAAGATTTTACTGGTTATTAGCATTTGCGAGTTTTATAAAATACATCATACCCTCAGAATTAAGCTTTCTGTAATGTTATAATATTTCGGTGTTTGTCCCTCACTACTCGGTCGCTCCTTTATGGGCCTGGCCAAGTCCATAATTAGCTTGCTTAAAGAGGCCTTCTTAGTGCCGACAGGGCGGACAAAATTAATTAAAATTACTATTTTGACTAAATTCAATGCAGGTTTAATTAAATTACTACACTATAAATGACAACCCTCTGTTTGTTGCTAATTGGATTGCAATTTTGAAATTGAAGATCTATAGATTCCGACTATTGTCCGTTTGTCAGCCGTTTGTCTTTAATCTCGACACTGGAGTTAGATAAATGAAAATGTTGTCCAGATATGGTATTTATCAAATTGAATTATATTATATAATGGTAAGCTTAGAGCCGTCATCCCGGATTAACAATATACGAACTTCCAGCACTTACATTTTATACAGTCATAATAAGAAATTTATGTCAGTCGTAGAGCAGGCATATATTTACTTTCTGATGTAAAATTTTAGAGAGAAACTTTTGGATATATTTTCGAAGCCTGCCGGATAATCGAGGAAATGAAAACGTCAGTCTACCGTAATGAGAATCCAGAATCAAATTCGGATTCAACATCAGAAAATTTTTCTGTCTGTTCCAGATATGTCACGTCTGTTCTAACAGTTATCGTGTTCAACCTGGAAGCAAAAGAAGCAAGTTACCCTGAATCTTGGGAAATTGTGGGCTCCAAAACAATGTTTATTTCGTTTATGTCCTCAATGCTATAAGACTGCGATATGTATTTTACTCAAGGCACACGTTACTCTGAGGACAGCACTGCCCATTCCATCTGCTGGTCTTTTTGAGTATTTCGTCAAATTCACAATGGTCCTACGAAAGTGGACGAGTGGATAAAACAACCGAATGATCGCTGCTTCTCGCTGTTGGTCGTAGATCCGCATCGTCCAGTGGCAGAGGTTTTTGGGTTTTCTTCACGTGTTTAACATATAAGCAGTTTTCGTAGAAAGTCTCCCTTAATATCGCTTGTGGATTTCGTTGCCGTATGAAATTAACCCAAAGCTAAAAATCTATAAAAGCCCTCCTAGTGTCCTCGGGGCGAAAAGTTCAATGGGGAAAATACAATGGGGAAAATGGGGAAAGAATATTTTCATTTAGTACTCCTATTTATATGTTTTCAATCCTCATAACACAATTTTCTTTGTTTTTAAGCTTAAATTACATTTAATTATTAAGTAAATATTTTATTTATTTGATTTTAGTTTTCAAATTAAAATAATTTGATACCAGAAAAACTAATTTAGCAAATTGAATTATTTTATATTTTCGATAAATAACCATAAAATTTTAGAAAAAAAAACAAAAATATAGACCTATGTACAATGAGGAATTTGATTATTTGAAAATATCAAATAACAAACATATGAAAAAACTATAAATTAGTAGTGTTTTATTGTGTAATTTACCATTTTAAACATACAAGGGAGTATCTGTAAGTATGGCAAATGTTTGTAAACTTATCATAAATTCGTCCATTTGGTTAATAATTTAAAATTTATTTATTGACTCAGCCCTGTGGGCGCGACTGGTCCTTTCTATTCGTACCCATTGTGGCCTAGGCCGAGTAGTTCGGGACTGAAATCCACATATTTCGGAGGAATTTTCTATTCCAGATTCGAGTCCGGTTATACAGAGCGGTAGACTGATGCCTTAAACGTTTCGGCAATATTTCCTTTAAAAAATAGANAAAAGATTTCTTGTATATTTAACTTTTTCCACCCTGTTGGCACTAAAAGAGCCTGTTTTATAGATGGGAATCGACATATCCGGACAGACCATCTCTAAAAAATTCCATAAGATTTTTCAACCCGTCTAGAGCAGTAAGCTGCCATCTTGACCGCTCGACTATTCGACTGTCAATGCAAAAAAAAAACACTAAGACATACTAGTACAAAATCGATATTGAGTGTGACGCTATCTGTTATAAGATTTTCTTTAAAAA